CTCCCCCACCTTCCCCCGCTCGGGAAGTGAGGGCGCTTGAATGGTGAGCTGTCAGGGGACTCGCTCTCTGCCAAAAGGACCGTTCACCTTCGTGCTTTGCCTGGGATCTCCCAAACCCAAGCGGAATTTGGTGTGTACAGCCATACTGTTGTATTTGTATCTTCCGTCCCTGGTTCCTTCTCCCCCTCCCCGCCCCCCCTTTCGCCGTCTGACCAATGCTGGGATCTGGGATCCAGTCGCCCCCTTCCTGCCTCCTTTCCGCCTCTCTCTACCCTTTTCTCCTCTCATCCGCACACCACTCGCCCCCACTCCCACCCACCCAAAGGGCAGAGAGTAAAGACACCCGGGAAGACAAGGGCTAGTTCCATCTGCTCGGATGGAAGGAGGCCTCGGGCAGGGATTGCCCTGCGAGTGACAACCTTTCCAGAAGAGAGAAAGAGAGAAATTCAGAGACTGAGCTCGGGCTCTCGGGAACAGCGAAGCTCGACACTGAATAGAGAGCACCGAGATTTTAAATCAAAGGGACACAGTCCTGGGACACTCGAGCTGCCTGCCTGCCATCGAAGGCGTCTGGAGCTGCGGTCATGAGCTCGCTGTCACTGGCATCGCCGTGCTAGGTGCGCGCCCGACTCTTCCCTTAGTATGCAGCGACCATTTCCCTGCAAGTCTCAAAGGTGGAAACATTTGAAAGGATTACAAGCGTGATTTGGTAGCCTTTTGAAAGTTGGTGGCCACGAGAGGAGAAGCTACAAGGGTACAGTGTGATGGATACAATTCAGCCTCCCAGAGAGTTTGCCCCTCCCGCTGGGAAGCCCCTCGGAGCAAACCTCGGAGATCGTGAGCGCTCTGCACCATAGGTACTAGCCGCCATCCTTTCCTTTCCTACTTTGCCTAATTGAAACCAGTATTTCTCGCATGCAGGATGCGCATTGTAGAGTACATAGACTTGGGCCGCGGTGGCTTCCTTACGCTCACAGGTGCTAGCGGTTTGTTGGATTTTGAACTGGATCGGTTAGGTATAAGGACAACCGTGAAAGGAAGGGTACTGGAGAATAACATACCCCCTTTCTCTGGGGGAGGAAATCTTAACTCCAACAAATAGGCCAGGTGGTTGAGTGAAGTACTCCTTCCCCAGTGGATATCTCGCTAGTTTTGCAAGAGGCAGAAGGAAAATAGCTTGGGCTTTTAATAATTTTCCTTTTCTAAACAGACTCATTGTGCGTTTCGCCTGCCTGGCGACAGCTAATTACAAAAGGATCTCTAGAAGGCTCAAAGCTCTTCAGAAAATGAATGATGCAGCATTTTAATTATTTATTATAGGGGATATCATTTTGCTTCCATATTGGAATATTTATCTTAGATCTGGAGAGATTAGCGGGCTCTAAGATCCAGCAATGGGGGGAGGGAGATGAAAGGGGTACTGTGGGGAGAAAGGGCTTCTTGTCCTCCTTCTGGACAAACAAATGGTTCCCGGTGCTTCCAGCAGGACTCGGAAAAAACCGGGGCCCCATGGCCCTCCATCCTCTAACTTTTTGAGCCCTTCCTATCCCTTAGACATGCTATCCTGAGGTAAAGGAAAGGAAAAGAGTGAAATGGGCTTCAGGACACAGCCACAGTCCAGAACTGAGGGGGCTGTAGTTCAAGAGAGAACAGAGACTTGATTGTAGAGACGACTCTTTACCGTCACCGGGAAGCTCAAAGCAGCCTCCTGGGGTACCCATGGATGCCAACACATCATGGATTCCGATAAGATCCCTGAAGCAGTTACCGCCTCTGCACGTTGGGTGCCGAAGGTGCTGGGCGGGGGCTGCGGGTAGGGGTGTTGGCAGCTGGGGAGGGAAATAGAATTGCTGTGTTTCTAAGCTCGGGCTACTGGTGTTGGTTTGCTTCATGGCTGCGACCTATGGGAGAAATAGGGTGGGTCTGGAATATTAAGGGCGTAAAATGTTAGAGAATTCTGCCCGCCTGCCTGCTTACTTAGTCTGATTGCTGTTTCCAATCTTAGATACTGTGGGGCGGTGGACACATAAACGGTCATTGAAATGCACAATATTATGCAAATAGCCTATGACTTAACTTTTAAGGAACGTTTTGTTGAGTTCTGTCGGTTGAGTTACCTATTTTAGAGTGGTAAGAAATTGACACATAAGCAGTGCTTTTCTTTAAAATTTGGTTTTGTAAAGAGTGCTTTAAGGGAAAGCCATCTCTATCTACCAACTTTGAGCCCTTGGGCAACTGAGGTTCAGTTTAGTTCTTCAGAGACCAGAAAGTCCCTCCCTTCCCCCTTCCTTGTGAGTTGGTAACAGGATTGGTGTGTGTGTTTGGGGGTGGGGGGTGGCGCGCATCCATGACACACAAGTTCCCGCTAACTAGAGTCCCTTGCTGTGCACTTGGTTTTCCCCAGTTTCCTCACTAAGCTGCATTTCCTCCCAGCAGGCAGGGCTGTAGAACTGTCAGTTCAGCCTTTAAAATTTTTCCTTAGAGGATTCCTGTGAACTATGATGGTTGCCTCTCTACAATGCAATATTTTCCTTCGATCATTCCCACTACTCCCTATCCCCTTCTCAAAAATATCACGGAAAAAATTTGAATTAAAAAAAAAAAGAAAAAGAGAGAAAGAAAAGAATCCAAATCCTTAAATTCGTTCCCTCTCCCTGCGAGCTCTTTCCCGGTGGAAGAACGTTAGATATACCATTGTTATCCAAATGGTCTGTATCTCCTTCGAGAGAACTGGCTTGTCTCTGTTTTTAAAAATGTAGAAGAACATACATGGCTGTTGAATCCAGGGGAAATCGAAGCTTTTGAGCTGCAGCACAACAAAAGAATTCCTGGTGCAAAAGGATCGAAGCAAAACGCAGAAGAAACTCGGTCCAACTCTCTTAGGCTGCCTGAGCTCTTATTTGGGACACCTAGGCAGAATCAGCCGGATTAAGCTCTCCTGCTTTGGGAACTCGGATTTCCCGCTTATCCCCGTCTTTGCAGGAAATGGCTGTGCTGTGAGAAGGATAATTTCGAGGGATAGTCTCACTTTTCAAACCATCTGCACTACAGAGAGGAGCTGTGGGAACTAGAGGAGCAAACCATCCCTGAGAGTTAAAAAAAAGAAAAAAGAAGAAGAAAAAGAAAAAGAAGGAGAAGAAGAAAAGGAAGAGAGAGAGAGAGAGAGAGAGAGAGAGAGAGAGAGAGAGAGAGAGAGAGAAAGGAACATGCTTACCCCTCCCTATCTCCACCTTCCCCACCAAAGAAAGGTTTCCCCTAGGTTGGTCTTCTCTCTTCTTATCTTTTCTTATCTTGCCAATTTGTCACTTCAACCCCTCTACTTCATTTCCCTTCCCTTACACACAAACACACACACACACACATACACACACACACACACACACACACACACGCACACACGCACACACAGTATAGTCAGATCTCCCTAGTCCTCACTCCCAACCCCAAGCTAAGCGCGTTTTCCTTCTTGGGGTTCGTTTTCATGACGTGATAAAGCGGATCCAGGGCTATAGCACTTATTTTTTTTTAAAAAAGCCAGCGCGACCGGGAGAAGTCCGAGATGCTACACCGTGATTGAGCTTTGCTTCCTCCCTGCCTTCCTCCCGCCCTTCCTCCCAGTGCCCAATGATGTGCAGCGGGCACCCAGCGAGATCAGCCACCGCGCCGGCAGCAGCAGCGGAGCTGGGAGCCTGCTGCAGCCCCTTCTCCTCCCTCCTCTGCTGAGTGTGCCAAGTGGCAGTTCTGCATCCTAAAGAAGCCCCATTGAAGAGTCCATTGCATTCCCTGCACGTCTTAAGCTTGCTCTTTTTCCTCTAAATCTCCCCCCACCCCAACTCCCTTTATCCCCTTTTGCTTCAGTTTCAGCAAAGGGAAGGGAGGGAGAGGGAAAGAGAAAGAAAATCCTTAAGCTCAAGCTTTTTTTCCCTTTTTCTTTTCAATGTCCCATGCTTAAAAAAAAAAATAAAAATCTGCAAAATAGGTAAGTCCAAGACATCTGGAGCTTTTTTTTTTTTTTTTTTGCCTAAACCTCAGCGACTGAAAAACAAGAAAAACATTTAAGAAAAGGAAATGGTGAAGAAAAAAGAACTTAAGTAGATTTAATATTTTATAAGGGAGACAGGGAAGACTGATACTGCAATATAGCCTTTGCTCACTCTCTCTCTCTCTTTCATTTAATTGTTTTTAAAAATCGAGTATTGCATGCCCAAGGCAGATTTCTCTTTGCTTTCTCATGATTTCTCCTTTCCTTACAGCTGTGTACATTACATACAAGTTGAATGTGAGGATTTATTCGGTTTACTTTCTCTATAAATTATATATTGTGTTTTAAGTTAGAGGGTTGATGAAATTTTTTTTTTGCTGTATGATATGTGTGGGAAGAAAAATATATGTTAAAACATTTTATTGATTAAAATAAGCCATTTAATTTTGATTGATATTTCAGTGACTCAGGAAGGATGATCTAATAAAACTGCATTATTATCATTTATTCATGTTAACATTTTCATATATTGATGATACTAGGCAAAAAAAGACAGCCATAGAGGAAGGCTCTGTATGTTATTAGAACACTGTGCTACATTTGTTTCCTCTGATTGGAAAAGAATGATGTCTTTTTTTGAAATATATTTTTTGTGATAGATCATTTATCAGCATGTAAGAATAGAGGTTCCCACTCTCTCTTGGCTTTAACTACTCACTTCTCCTTTAACCAGCCACCTGCTTTTCCAGCTTTTTACAGGGTTCCTCAGTTGATCTAGAAGGCACAGACACACATTCCAAACTAAGCTCTGCAAGTGTTTTAATTCAAACACTCCCAGATTCAGCATCCTTTAGCTGTCACTATCTTTAGCACTGACAACTGCATGGAAATGTTATTTAGAAGGGCTAATCGCTCCTAAATGCTTGAAATAATCAAATGATACAAATATGAAGAGGTTATTTAATTAAAGGAGATGTCAATAATCTGTGCTTGGGTAAAAGGGGTGGGGGGTATAAAGTGTTACTGACTATACACTGTAATTAAGCATGTTTTGATCATTTCTTAAAAGAAATCTTAAGCTTTCCTAAGGTGTGAATCATCTTACACATCTCCACACCTTACATTAGGCATTGGGCTCATACTTTATGATACCCTTTAATCTAACAACTTTGGGGTATGTCATGTCTTTTTAATAGTTGAAACCTACGATTTGAAGAACATATTTTTCCCAGAGATCCAATCAGATTTATAATGGGCATCTTTGATGTCAATGTGAGTTTTAACAGGCAAACAGGTGTAATGGCCAAATTATTGCCATTATTACTGAATCTGCCCATGCCTAAAAGGCAGCACTTTATACCAGTTCCGTTGTTTGCTATAAGAAGCAATGTGGGCTGCTTTTGTTCATGTGAACTGCCATTTACCAAGTATGGCTTGGTTCAGGAAAATGTCAATGCATGGTTCAATATCTCTGAGTCTCCTAAGTTTAAAATATAGGACACATTCTAAACATTAAGCATGTTACTAGCTCATTTTGAGTGTCAGTTCAACGATCGCTGAAGTTTTTATATCGCTCTTAAAAAGCTCACATGTAGGAGTCAATTAAAATAGTACATATGACTAAAAGCTAAAAATCTGCATTTTTATTTCTGTTGCAGTTTTGTAATCAACCACGAATGATGAAACCTTCCATAGCTGAGATGCTTCACAGAGGGAGGATGTTGTGGATAATTCTTCTAAGCACAATTGCTCTAGGATGGACTACCCCAATTCCTCTGATAGAGGACTCGGAGGAAATAGATGAGCCCTGTTTTGATCCATGCTACTGTGAAGTTAAAGAAAGTCTCTTTCATATACATTGTGACAGTAAAGGATTTACAAATATTAGTCAGATTACCGAGTTCTGGTCAAGACCTTTTAAACTGTATCTGCAGAGGAATTCTATGAGGAAATTATACACCAACAGTTTTCTTCATTTGAATAATGCCGTGTCTATTAACCTTGGGAACAATGCATTGCAGGACATTCAAACAGGAGCTTTCAATGGTCTTAAGATTTTAAAGAGGCTATATCTACATGAGAACAAACTAGATGTCTTCAGAAATGACACCTTCCTTGGTTTGGAAAGTTTGGAATATCTGCAGGCAGATTACAATGTCATTAAACGTATTGAGAGTGGGGCATTTCGAAACCTAAGTAAATTGAGAGTTCTGATTTTAAATGATAATCTCATCCCCATGCTTCCAACAAATTTATTTAAGGCTGTCTCTTTAACTCATTTGGACCTACGTGGAAACAGGTTAAAGGTTCTTTTTTACCGAGGAATGCTAGATCACATTGGCAGAAGCCTGATGGAGCTCCAGCTGGAAGAAAATCCCTGGAACTGTACGTGTGAGATTGTACAACTGAAGAGTTGGCTGGAACGCATTCCTTACACTGCCCTCGTGGGAGACATCACTTGTGAGACTCCTTTCCACTTCCACGGAAAGGACCTGCGAGAAATCAGGAAGACAGAACTCTGTCCCTTACTATCTGACTCTGAGGTGGAAGCTAGTTTGGGGATTCCCCATTTGCCATCAAGCAAGGAGAATGCATGGCCAACTAAGCCTTCCTCAATGTTGTCCTCTGTGCATTTTACTGCTTCTTCTGTTGAATACAAGTCCTCAAATAAACAGCCTAAGCCCACCAAACAGCCCCGAACACCAAGGCCACCCTCCACATCCCAAGCTTTATATCCTGGTCCAAACCAACCTCCCATTGCTCCTTATCAAACCAGACCACCAATTCCCATTATATGCCCTACGGGGTGTACCTGTAATTTGCACATCAATGACCTTGGCTTGACTGTCAACTGCAAAGAGAGAGGATTTAATAACATTTCTGAACTTCTTCCAAGGCCACTGAATGCCAAGAAACTATATCTGAGTAGCAATCTGATTCAGAAAATATATCGTTCTGATTTTTGGAATTTTTCTTCCTTGGATCTCTTGCATCTGGGGAACAATCGTATTTCCTATGTCCAGGATGGGGCCTTCATCAACCTACCCAACTTAAAGAGCCTTTTCCTTAATGGCAATGATATAGAGAAGCTGACACCGGGCATGTTCCGAGGCCTACAAAGTTTGCACTACTTGTATTTTGAGTTCAATGTCATCCGGGAGATCCAGCCTGCAGCCTTCAGCCTCATGCCCAACCTGAAGCTGCTATTCCTCAACAATAACTTGCTGAGGACCCTGCCAACAGATGCCTTTGCAGGCACATCCCTGGCCAGGCTCAACTTGAGGAAGAACTACTTCCTGTACCTTCCTGTGGCTGGTGTCCTGGAACACTTGAATGCCATTGTCCAGATAGACCTCAATGAGAATCCTTGGGACTGTACGTGTGACCTGGTCCCCTTCAAACAGTGGATCGAAACCATCAGCTCGGTTAGTGTGGTAGGTGACGTGCTTTGCAGAAGCCCTGAGAACCTCACCCACCGTGACATACGCACTATTGAGCTGGAAGTTCTTTGTCCAGAGATGCTTCACACTGTACCAGCTGGAGCATCCCCGGCCCAGCCTGGAGATTCTCACCTTGTTGGGGGACCAACAAGCGCATCACCTTATGAGTTCTCTCCTCCCGGGGGCCCTGTGCCACTTTCTGTATTGATTCTCAGCCTTCTGGTTCTGTTTTTTTCAGCTGTCTTTGTTGCTGCAGGCCTCTTTGCCTATGTGCTCCGACGGCGTCGGAAGAAGCTGCCCTTTAGAAGCAAGCGACAGGAAGGTGTGGACCTTACTGGCATTCAGATGCAGTGCCACCGGCTGTTTGAGGATGGTGGAGGCGGTGGCAGTGGAAGTGGGGGTGGAGGTCGGCCAGCTCTTTCCTCCCCAGAGAAGGCCCCTCCTGTAGGTCACGTGTATGAGTACATCCCCCACCCGGTTACCCAGATGTGCAACAACCCCATCTACAAGCCTCGCGAGGAGGAGGAGGCAGCTGTTTCATCAGTCCAGGAAGCAGGGAGTGCAGAACGTGGGGGTCCTGGGACACAACCACCAGGAATGGGTGAGGTTCTCCTAGGAAGTGAGCAGTTTGCTGAGACACCCAAGGAGAACCACAGCAACTACCGGACCTTGCTGGAAAAAGAGAAGGAGTGGGCCCTGGCAGTATCAAGCTCCCAGCTCAACACCATAGTGACAGTGAATCACCATCACCCTCACCCTCACCACCCAGCAGCTGGTGGGGTTTCAGGGGTAGTTGGGGGAACTGGGGGAGACTTGGCAGGGTTCCGCCACCATGAGAAGAATGGTGGGGTGGTGCTGTTTCCTCCTGGGGGAGGCTGTGGTGGTGGCAGTACGCTACTAGACCGAGAGCGGCCGCAGCCCGTCCCCTGCACAGTGGGATTTGTGGACTGTCTCTATGGCACAGTGCCCAAATTAAAGGAACTGCACGTCCACCCTCCTGGCATGCAATACCCAGACTTACAGCAAGATGCCAGGCTCAAAGAAACCCTTCTCTTCTCAGCTGGAAAGGGCTTCGCAGACCACCAAACCCAAAAAAGTGATTACCTCGAGTTAAGGGCCAAACTTCAAACCAAGCCGGATTACCTCGAAGTCCTGGAGAAGACGACATATAGGTTCTAACAGAAGGAAGAAAACATATTAGTGCTTTTTTTTCCAAAAAAAAAGGAAAATAAAACAAATATATCCCTTGCTCTCTTTACACTTGTCCTGGTAACTCCATCCTCACAATCTTCCCTGCCCTGAACAGAACTGAAGCCGCATGATAACTAGAGAATACAGATGTATGCTCTCCTTTCTCAGATGTGATTTGGAGGAAGGGCCATACTCAGATCATTAATCAATGAAGTGCCTTCGCAGACTTTTGCCAGCAAATGTTATCATTATTTTTTTATACTGAAACTTGAGACTTTGACTGTGCCATGTATACGGTATACTGGGGATCATTGTATTGATCCTAATTAAGTAAAATTCAATGTGTCTTTTATTTTCAGTAACTTTTTTTTTAGTTGTAGTTTTGTTTGAAAGGGAGGCGGGGGAAATGACATTTGTGGCTTTCTTTCCTCTTCCCACCATGGCACAGATTCTGTACATGTATTAACAATGCAGTTTGCTGCATGCCTGGAAACTGCAAGATGGGGAGGGAGGGGTGGGTCTTGCTCGAATGTTCTCACTCTCTCTCACTCACTCGCTTGTCTCTCGCACACATACCCATATGCAAACCACAAATCTGCACACAGTAGGGTCCCTAAACCTGCAATCTCTTCCCGCTGGTGCAGGTACACACACACATACACACACACACACATGCACGGGCGTGCAGACACAACTCCACACACACCACTCCCATTCAACCCAATCTGCTTAGTTCGTGTTTGATTCATTTCTCTCCATAGTTCCACATACCCTCACCCCTAGTGTACAGCTCATAGATCTCTCTGCCACCCTGGGAAAAGTCACATTCTAGGCTGGATCCTACTGAAGAGGAGACCTGGTGGTTTAACAGCCGAAGGAAGACACACACCTAGGGATGAGCACCCTCTTTGTGACACTTCATCCAGAAGCCAAGATTTTTTGGAGAACATCTGCACTTTCTTATATATATATATATATATAAAATATTAAAAAAATAAAAAAGCAACTGGGTATATATCACTAACAGCTTTTTAGGAAGCACTTTTAATGTTTTCTCTCTCACACACAAAGATTCAAAAGAAATGTGCATATATTTATTCTGTAATTTCAGTGATTATAAATTGTAAAGGTAATGTTTAATCATTGTATAGTGATTATGCGTCTGGTATAGCTTTCCTAATAAAAGGTTTTTGAAAAACATAATACATTATATATAGAGGATACAAAGCTTGAACCTTAAACTCCAGCTATGCCATGCCTTTTGTGCTCCCATTAAAAAAGATAATTTCTTTTACTTGTTATACAGAAAGCTAATTTATTAACAAGTTTGATGCACTGTGATGTTGATAAATCTTATAACCCACCACCCCCATCCCATACCAGGATATGATTGGGACTTAAAATTTGATTTGTGTTTCATTTCTTTTTCTTGGATTATAAATTTCTAACTTAGTACCCAATGATGCACTGTTTCCTAGGCATGATGCAACGGGGAGCAAGCAAAGTAACTAGATTGCTAAGAAGTACAGGATCCATTAGGAGAAGGAGATCAAGAATCCACACATCTTAAGATAGTCAATGACATAAGGAAAAAGGAAAGTAAAATTGCTATTGTTTTAGATAAAATATGCACTAAAATTATTCAGACACACCCCCACACACCCAATCAAAATCAAAGGCCTTGGGGCCAATGTGACCTTCAGAATCCTGTTATTGTAAAAGCTGTCACTATTATATTTGGCTACTGTTTTCCAGCCACTTATTTCAACTGGCTCCAGTAATGCTTGAACTAAGACAGAGGATGCGGAAAGAATTTTTCTTTTTCCGTATGACATTAAAATGATGTTGCGAAATTAACCTGACAATAATCCAAGTAAAGATCCATTTACATGTGAGTGAAACCAAAGAGAATTGGATTTTTAAGGTGCCGGTATTGTGTTTGTGGAGGAAACTGACAAAAAAAAAACCTGAGAGCTTTGGGGCAGGCGCTTATCTAATTAGGCCAGTAGAGGGCAGCAGAGCTCCAGCGATCCACAGACCCACTAACTGCAGAATTGTGCAGGGAGTCCAGTGTTCCCCGCCAGTGTTTCCTCAAGCTACCCTTAGTGAAAATTATCATTACGTGTTGAATGTAATTCATCACAAGTCACTGATGCCTTACATCACATTTTTTCCATAGAAAGAGAATGAGTCTAGCAGCTTCTAAAGCAGTGTGACAGATATAACACTAAGGCATTGTGCTGAAAAAAAAAGCCCCATGAATGTCTAGAACATATTTATATATCTCTTGATTAATTATATAGAAATATCAGCATAGATGTGCATACAAATTAAAAACACAAGCATATCAATATAAAATGCAATTTTTCAGGGCTTTCTTGCATTTGACATGTTGTATCTATAACTTTTGTCCTCACTTATTTGAAATGTATTTTGGAATTATTTTAGAAGGAGAAAGTCCATGAATATGATTCACTATCTCTCTATGTATAATATCTAAATGAAGCTGTTCTTATGCAAAAGAGTCAGGCTCACTATTAAATAGGTATAATTGTTCTTCTTTTGTTTTATTTTTTTTACATATATATTTTTTACCTTCCCATAAGTCACCTTTTTTCTAGTTATCTCACGTTCCTTATTCTTTCTAATCATCTCTCCCTCCTTCACCAAATTATTTTTTTAGGTACAGAAAGCCAATATTACGCCTTAAGTATTTTAAAACTCAATTTATGGAGTCCTTCTAAATTAATTTATCATACTTAATATTCCTCCTAACCAAATACTTTGGTGAATATTAGAATACATATACATAGTAAAAACTCAAAGTGCAAAGCTAGATACTGATAATAATAATTTCCTTAATGACCATGCAGTCATTCATGATGTGGCGTATTATACAAATCAGGTTAAAGTACTATCTCAAAAGACTGTGGTGCTTTTGACATTTGAAAATGAGTTTCCATAAACCATATCAAATTATAATATAACTTGATAATTATAATGTTTGTTTTATTAAATACAGAAAGTCAGACTGTCTTGTCTTAAATATAATCAGTAATTTCACCCTTGAATAAGGAATACATTTATTTATTTAGTGAAAATAAATTTATATGAGAATGGAATTTCATATTCAAGGGTTTTTTTTTTTTTTTCTTTTATAAGGTTTTCTACCCCCAGGCTAGGACATTCACTTTAGCTGTGCATTAAAATTACCTAAGTTAGCTTTAATTTATAATACCAGATATGTTTTCATAAAGTACCATAAGTACTATGATTAGGATCTGTTTTATGTTTTTGGTAAGGTAAAATGTTTATTTTTAAGAAAAAGATCACTAATTCATTTCACAGTCATAGTCAAGTTGACTGAATCAGACTCAGATCTGATAGATATTTGCTATTACTCATTGTTATTTTTATAATTAATTACAGTAATAATATTTGGAAATAATAAAAACATTGTAATTTCCCTTAAACTGTGAGATGGTTAGTGGAAAATAATTGAAAATGATCTATAAGTTTAATTCAATAATAGTTTTATTAATAACACGTTCTGCATCATATATGGTATTATTCATGTGGATGTTTTTATATTTTTATTCAGAAAGTGATATTATTTCATCTAATTGCAAACTATTTAAAAAATAAGAATAATGAACCCCACAATTTCAATAAAAGTTCAGAGAGAAAGAATCACAAGAAAAGTTTAATGACTCAGCTTGAAAAGTTTTTTTTAATCTGTGAATGCTATTTTTAAACCTTTGATATTTGAAAAGAATGATATTTATGTTTAGGATTATGAAAAAAATTAATGAAATGCTTCATAAAATGTGAGAAATATGACAAAAACAAGTCAAGATAATATGAGAGGAAATGGTAATAAAAGGACATTCCATCTGAAGTGATTTGAGCTAGTTTAATTTGAACTTAGACATTTACAACTTCCCCTCAGCTCAAAATCCTTAACTGAAAATTCAGGTGAACAGAACATTAATAAACAGCACTAAATTCAACATATTTTATTCAATATACCACGTTTTGTTTAACATACTATAGGCCTTTAAAAAGTAATAGGAGCAATAACACATATGTAATTGAGTAATCATGTGTGTGTACATATATGCAACACTATTATATATGTATATACATTGTATATACATGTATATAGTTTATATATGCTGAGTTATATGTAAATTATGCATTTTTTCTTACATGTATAAAAATTTCTGTTTTATGCATTTCTTTTTCTTGCTTTGTCTAGCCACTATCCAAGCGAGGCTGGATGAAATTATGAGTCTTCACTTTGGGAGTATTCACGTGTAAAAAGTAACAATGTAATTAATACTTCTGAATTTAAAAGTTCTTTCATCTTCCAATTTGTTTCATTTTGTTTTGTTATTTAAGTCATAGGGGGCAAATCTCAGGCAAATTGTGATTTAAGTTTTTCACAGTCGAGGAATTAATTTCTTGTAAGTATGCAACATAAGTCTAATGAAAAGCAAGTGCTTCTTTTTTCATTTTTCTGGTTTTTATTGCTTTTTTATTTTAATGACCCTGGCCTACTTTATTTCCTTAATAAATAGTGTAATAGTTTCTTGTACACCTAACTAAAATATACATTTTGAGGTTGAAGTTTTATAGACACTATAAAATTACTTCTTTTTTCATTTTTCTGGTTTTTATTGCTTTTTTATTTTAA